AGGACTGCAGCCTTCCATCCCGATATTCGGCGACAACGGAATTGTCGACGGCGCCGCTTTCCCCACACATCTTGAACTTCAAGCCATTGCGGCTCTTGAAATTTCGAAGCCATCCATCCCTGAACTTGAAGTCCTTCACGCCCATCTGAAGTGCAAAAACCTCCGCCTTCTGCTTCAGGATGTCGCCTGACACCGGGATTTTCTTGGCGATCATGGTCCTGAGCCACACGAGTGCTTCCTCGAGCTTTGGGTAAACACCTTGGTTCGCCTTCTTCTTTCCAGCCCCGGTTGATTTGGCAGCCACTTCCAAGATCTTCACCTTGTTTTTGATGAAGTCCGAAACAGTTTGCTTCGAAATTCCAAACTCCCTCCCCACCTCTGCCTGCGACCGACTGCGTTGGACCTGTCCAATGATGGCGGCCTTCTTCTTCATCGTGAGCCTACGAAGGGGCTTTGTGCGCTTCGAAGGGGTGGGCGAAAATGAAGGAGCAGTTGGTGCCATCGCTGTAAACGGTGAATCCGCTGGACGAAAGGCGCAGCACAGTACAGCTAGGAATTCTGTGGATGCTGAAGGTCGGGAAACGTGATCACTGAAGATAGCGCGCAGCAGCAAATGATCAACCGCACACACGACCGCAGAGCTGACAAAACAACACGTAAACGAAAACAGTGACGTTTGGCTTGGTTAAGCTGCTAAGCTATGGCTGGCAATGGATTGACACGTGCCTTTTCGAAATTACGGCAGCCACGGCGTGGTGTGGCGGCTGGTGGCGGTGCTGCTGGCCCAACGCCTCCTGGAAAAAAATATGCCTGGAAGGTCGCTCTCTTTTCAATTGGAAGCCTCCTGCCAGCACGCGATCTCGGAAGCCATGCCTCCTGCCTTGTGTTGCGACCGGCCGCTGCGTAAGACCGCTCGCCTCCATACCGCTCAGTCACGTGACATCACAGCTGCTCGGAGGCAACTGTTAGAGCATTGCTGTGTTCGCAGGGGGCGGCCGTCGGAGACGCTCGCCTTCGTACCGAAGGAGGTAAAATCAGAGGGTAGGGCAGCTTGTTAGTGGCTCGCGTTCCTGGCATAATTTTTTTAGAAGGCGTTGGCTGGCTATACCTGCGATGCGAGTATGGCAGGTTCGAGGATATAAAAATAACCAAAATGGCAGCATCGGTGGTGGCTTTGGGTCAGCGGTTAACAGTAAAAAATCCAGGAAATCAGATGCCAAAGACTAAAAACGTCCGGAATTTCGGACATTTTAATACACTGGCTCTATGAGGAACTTGACGATGCCACAGGTAAGTCCGGGAAATCAAGCATGTCCGGAATTTAGGGAGTCCGGGAAATCAGACGTCGGCTGCATTCAAATAGAAATCTCCACCCATGCACCAATGTAATTCAATTTTTTGCACAGGAAACTGCATTGAAAGTGACTCTAATTCAGCGTTTTAATGTTCATGCTGATAGATTTCAGTTGGATCTCAGCGCTAGTCTTCGTCGGTTCCATGTCCTTGTGCGGTGTAATTTCGATTATATGTCCCTCTGTTCCGCGGTGACCCGCATTTTACGACGAATTGGTTTGGTCCCAACAAGATCCCTATAGAAACAATGTATTAAAAACCTTGGTTATACCATACAGTTTTACACCGATCTCGCATCTTACGAAGACTTTCAGAATCCGTCCGAAAAAAGAAATCACATTTACTCGAATCAAACGTCGACCAAATATTCAAAAGTGCGAAATATGAACTTGTGTTGGCCTACGTTGACGGTTAGAAAAGTAGAGTGAGACAGGATGTCTTAGAATGGAAAATTTATTCTCCTGAAAGTTTATGCGCTTATATATGCACCTTGATCACGTGAGTGCGTATTCGGGTTCATTAGCTACTTAAGATATATCTACACGAAGTAACTTTAGCCAGCCTAAAAGCTGATATTTTCACGTTTTCGGTCCGTGGGAACTTTTCCTGGTCAACATATAGCTCATCACACCCCGCCGCGGTAGTCTAGTGGCTAAGCTACTCTGCTGCTGACCCGCAGGTCCCGGGATCGAATCATGGCTGCAGCGGCTGAATTTCCGATGGAGGCGGAAATGCTGTAAAACCCTAGGTGGTCGAAGTTTCCGGAGCCCTCCACTGCGGCATCAATCATAATCATATGGTGGCTTTAGGACGTTAAACCCCACATATCATATAGCTGATCTCCTGCCTTTGTTGCACTTATAGTCACAGGCTTGTGCATGCATAATGGCGTGACGAAGCTGTTTTCACCATGCAAAATTACTTTCACTTGACGTCAACATTCATATTGTAATGGAGCATACGCACTAACGCGTATGCGCCTTCCAGACAGAACGAAAAACCCCGTGCACAGTGGAACATCATTAGTTGCACTTCACAAGCCAACAAATTACAATGCGCACAGCTCACTCACACGAAATGGGCATGAAGGCATTCTTTGCAAACTAGTCGTCCGTTGCCATTATGTGATAGCGATGACACTAACTCTTCTGACAGGAGGCTGTTGCCGACACAGTTTCTGTTTCGTTTTTATGTACACGCAATTTTCAGACTGTTTATCGGTAAAAAGGTGCGCATTGGATTCGATTTTTTTTTAGAATAAAAAGTTGCTCGCATTTCCTCTATGTGATGCTGCTATTAGCTGCCACTGGCAAGAATAATTCAATCTACCTTCCTTGCAGAGGCACGAGGTCGTGCCGTGATGTTACTCAGGAGGTTTGTGCCCATTTTTTGGGCAAGGCTGAGTGTCACTGCCTATAACCCTATTTTTTTCGATTATGGGATGCCTGGTAGTTTTGCGTGGTCCCATGAAAGTCGTATAATCGGGGTTCCACTGTATGTCTTGCACACTGTTCAGATTGCCATAGAATACACACTAGCCAGTCAATATTTCAGTGCCAGAGGAAAATAATGTCCAGGGTACACATTTGCGACTTAGTGATGTCTCCTGTTTGCCATCAGCCAACATAATTCTGAGTATTTTTCCTTGTTTTTCTGTCTCCTATTTCTTCTCCTTCTTTAATAAAATCTCTCTTTCATAAATCTCTCTAAAATCTCTCTCTAATAAATATCTCTCTGTAGTCGTTCTCTCGCTTTCTTTCTATTTCTCTCTTTCTTCCTTTTCTTTCTATTTGTCTTTTTCTTTCTCGCCTGCTGTCTCTTTTTATATTCGTTGTCTCCCTCTTTTTCCTCCTCACCTTCACTACTCTTTCCCAACCCCTTGCTATGATAAGCTATACTATACTATACAAAGCTATGGTACACTCTGCTAGCGTGCATGCATGTTGAGGGGAAACGCATAGCTAGTAATTACCTCAACATCCCACTTCATTAGGACGATCACTTAGCTATGAGATGCATACGAGTAAATGGAAAGTCAGCCAGAATGGTATTTACGTTGGTTCAGGGGCTTGTAGATCTTTACCACCGTTGTAGTGTATAATTGAAAAATGCCATTAATTGATATGTGAACTCTATACATGAGTGCTGATTTTTTTAGCACTATGTGTTCATCGTTGGGCCGCGATACGAGCAGAATGAACATACAAGTTGGAAGTTTCATGCCTATGATAAATAAGTACAATGAAAGAAAAAAATTGGATAGCTTAGTGGTTACGGCACTCATGTTGGGATAATAGATAGGTGGTTTCAAATCTCGCCTTGCGGAGAATTTTTTTCGCCTAGAATTTCTTTTTTCTCTATATCTTTTTCACTCTCCATTTACTCGTTCTCTTGCCCACTGTGTTAATACGGCCCACTACAGACAAATCAGTGAACGTGTTCAGAGAGTGAAGCAGAAGAGAGAGGATCAAGAGAGGGTGTGCTAGTTCCGGATTATGATCATTTTCTTTCTACAACAAATGGCAAATTGCGAGGCTGCATTGCAGCTCTGCTGTTAAAAGCCAACTTCCCCATCGGCATGCGGTCAGTCTTGGCGTCCGCATTCCAGCAACTTGGCTGTCCCCATCTTTGCTCACAAGCCAGGCCTCTGGGTGTCTTTCAAATTGTTTTCTCGCTAGTAAGGGTGAGTTAATTTCAGGTGGCCTAAGTCTACACATTCATGTTCTGGGGGTGAGAGGTGGCTGCCAAAACTACAGACGTATTCGAGTATTGCCTGGGGTGGAATTTAATGCGATAGTGTTGAAGAGCTTGTTTGCCTCGATTCCAGCATCAGTGTGGGTGTTGTTGGCTATGAGTGAGAAATCTTGACGAATGCAGATATAATAATAAAAAAATCATTAGTCCTAGCTAGAATCAAGCACAGGCACTCTGTATGGCAAGTAAGTGCTCCACTTTAGAGCCACCCCTGTGCTTGAAACTGTTCTTGAAAAGCCTATCCAGGTGTTACATGCTGCAAGGAGTCATGCAATATTGCTTGACAGCCGCATAGAATTGCACCAGGCATCACATCGTATGAATTGGGCAACAAGTGCGGGGTTTAGAGACACACCCATTACAAAACACTGAGGCATAATTAATCATTATCATCATCAACAGCATAAAAAACCACGCAGCTGCATAGGTTTGTGTGTTGCCTTGCAGAGATGTAGTGGCCACTTCACAACCTTACTTGCAGTAGTCGTTATATATATGAAAACAGCCAATGTTGCTTGTACAAACCTTCCATTCCTTGCGGCACAGTTGAGACGCCCACCAAAACACAAGGCCTTTCTGGTGAATTAGAAGGTGATGCAACAAAGGACCAATCATGCTACCGCACTCTACTCTAAAGCGAACATTGAGCATCCTCCAGGTTTTTATTGAGGATTTATAGATTGGGGTACCTGTTTGTGTTTAGTCAGTGTCAGTCCCTGCCTGCCCTTGATCAAGTTTTGGGTGTGCTATGCAAAGCAAGGCAAAATTACCACAAATGCAAAACTTTTTGGTGGAGGTTAGTTGGTAGTGAATGCCTTTCGTACTGTGGCTGCTTAATGCTATGATGTCTTTAGAAGTTTGATTATTAATTTTACATTGTGGTTTGTTTGCAGGCCCTGAAATGACCACTGATGATCGGAGCTTTGCTATGCTCTCACTGTGTAGCATGGATGTGGCGAGCACAGTGGCCTACTTTTACCCACGCCTTCTGCCTTTGGTAAGTTTATTTCTTGTTACCTTAAAGTCCAACTCTTGTCACCTTCACAGTTCATGACAGATTCGCCTAGGCATATTTCAGTTCACTTGGAAATTGTACCATCATGTCATTTTTTTTTGTTTCAGGCAGCGTGCTTTTTTTTAACTGATCTTATGTAGAACCTGTGGTTAATGTGTTTGTGCAGCATGACGTTGACGTGGACGCTGTGGACCTGCCAGTTGCCCTGCGGTGTACTGCTGAGAAGATTCAAGAGGATGGCTGCTACCTTCTAGGTAAGGGCCAAGTTAACATTCACATTGATTACAGGGCTGCATTAAAGGGGCACTCAAAAGATAACTTGAAGGGGTCCTGAACTACTTTTAAAGCAATGTTTTTCCCAGTATTTGAGTTTATTGCCTCATGAATTCATTGCCATAAAAATTTTTGGAATTCGTTAAAAATGAGCAAAATTGCAGAACTTTGTTGTGCACTTTAAGTGCTTGCTATCTTCGCTCGTACGACAAGCGCACTGGAAGCCACACAGGGAGGCATGGCACGAGGGAAAGAAGTTATGTCAGCGCACATGCCTCAACACGGTGGCTCTCTCCTGTAGTGACTCAATGTGTGATGTTAGACTATGAAGCGCGGTGCTGGCACGTTTCAGCACTCCATGGTAAGATCTGATCCGAATACTGCTTGTTGGATATTAGGTAGTGCCCTGCTATCTGCTGTTTAACATCAAATAGCAGGTGCTGGTGACTCTGATGAGAGTGAGCACAGGCCTCAGCTTGAAAAAAGGGCACCTGAGAAAATGGCGACTTGTGTTCCGCTTCTAAGCTCTCCTTGCAATGCAAGACTGAAAGATTTGGCTGAGCTTTTCATAGCAATATCTGCTAACAGCGGGATGTGTTTTTGTACCAAGTCTGAGGGTTGAATCATGATCCCTTTAAATTTTCGGTGTGTGTTGTGGACTAATTGTATACACAGACCTCTTGCCGTTAATGACATATGCTGGATCCGGTCTTGCTACGTCCATTTTAAAAGTATGAACAGCACCAAAATTTTTTTTTTGAAATATCAGCTTACATAATGCAGGTGTGAACTGCATAACTTATGGAATAGAGAGAGAGAAATGGAGAGGAAAGGCAGGGAGGTTAACCAAGCTTGGCATCTTGCAAGCAGCCCCGTCGTGGTGGTTTAGTGGCTAAGGTACTCGGCTGATGACCCGCAAGACGCGGGATCAAATCCCAGCTGCAGCGGCTGCATTTTCGATGGAGGGGGGAAATGCTGTAGGCCTGTCTGCTCAGATTTGGGTGCAAGTTGAAGAATCCCAGGTGGTCAAAAATGTCCAGAGCCTTCCACTTCGACGTCTCTCATAACCATATGGTGGTTTTGGGATGTTAAACCCAACATATCAATAATCATAAATCATTGGCATTTTGTAAACACATGCAACATGCAGCAAAAGTGTTGAAAGTGTGGTATATTTTGACCTGTTTTAGCTTGTATTATTTTTTGCCTTAAGAAAAGCATGTGAATGACAATTAAAATACATGTACTTGCATGCTTGTTGATGCATGTGTAAGAACATTCAAAATTACTCCCACCACAGTACCACCACTGGTGAGATTGGCAGGCTTCATTATAAAATTGAAATAGGGCTTCTAACACAAGTCAGTGTCTTTATAATTGCATGCTTTAGTACCATCGTGAAAACGCTTTGCATGTGAACTGGCCTCTCATTTTATAGTAGTCTGTGAAATGTTCAATGCTGAAGTGATGATGCCCTTTGAATGGGCATGTAGCCGCATGAGCTTCCTGAAGCACTTGCCCTCACTGGAAACTACGTGCTTTATATATATATATATATATATATATATATATATATATATATATATATATATATATATATATATATATATATATATATATATATATACATGGTAGTCACATTGTAATAGCGACACGTAACATCCAATATAAGATTTTCTCACCCGAGTTCTCTCTCCTGAGCATATTGCTTGGATTTTGGATTCATGAGCTCAGATTCAGTATTCACAAAATTTGTGACAGCCAGCTGTGAGACATTAAAATACCAATCAGATGGTGCAATCAATGTACTTAAGAGGCATCATGTCGCAGTCAAAATTAACACTTTTGAGGTACTTAATTTAGCTCGGTGTAAATCAACATTGCATTCATTTTGAAGCACATGCAGCGAAGTGTTCAAAATGCCAGAATTGACATACCTGGTTTTGTAAAATACTAATAGGCTGTACTAGTATGAAGCAGAAACTGCCGTATTTACTCGAATGTAAGCAGACTGTGACTACAACATGAGAGGTAATGTTCCAGACACATGACATGAACGTTAAACAAAAGAAAAAGTAGAATTTTTATTCACGGAATCGCACATTGACAATGAGGTCACTTATCATCATGCATGAGGAGGAGCTGTCCTTGAATGGTATTCTCAAGTGATGATTCAGTGAGAACTTAATTTTTGGAAAATATAATATTACTTGGCTCCAGATGCATCTGCAGTTGTATATCTGGCACTGGGCCAAGTTCGCTATGTTTTCAGTGTGCCAAGAGAGACGTTGGCCACATGCTTTCGCTAGATGAGTGTGGAGTTGGGCGGAGTCACAGAAAGGTGAAATTGTATTTATTTATTATTAATGCAACTGCATCGCCCGAGTGGGCATTATTGTATGGTAATCTCTCGAGAACAAAATAGAGTTCATTTGATGTCGTGCACGTCCTAATAATTTATTTCATTTGAGAAGCAGTACCAAGTTAGAGTGTTATAGAAATAGGTAGTCAGCTGACTGGAGGCAGTGCACTCATGCACTTTATCTCATTTGGTAGATGGCACCACCACCACTTGCAATGGGAGCGACGCGTTGCTGCCCTCAGTGCGGTTAGTTGGCCGGTGCTTCAAGAATAAACTACTTTTATGCAATCGCTCTTCATAGCCATTTTCGTTGCTTTTTTTCTTTTGCGTGAGCATATTCTTGCTTTAGTCGTCGTTCTTGCGCATGAAGTATTGCTAAGCATGAGTGCATCATCAGCAAGCGCGGGATGTAATATACGCTGTAAACCACTAGTTTTGTATTGCGGTGGCCAGCTCTCACTTAAAAAAAAAAGATCTTGAAGTTTTATTGCCATTAGATAATTAATTTATTTATTGGGCTTTATGTGCTAAAATCACTTTCTAATTATGAAGTATGCCGTTATAGTGGACTCTGGAAATTTTGACCACCTGGGGTTCTTTAAAGAAGTGTATACTTAAGGGGTCGTTTTTCCGTGTTTGACACAATGTTAATGAGATCTAACAGGCAATAATGCCAAGGAAAATATAGGGGAAGTTATTAGACCAAACTTTATTGTAAATGTGTCCCAAGCAGCAGCGTGGTTCTGTGGTAGTGCTGGACTCGCACCCAGCGGACCCGTGTTCGATCGATTGCCTTTAGATGAAAGAGACTAATATTTTCATGCTAGCGTTTTTACTCGATAGTAACTTCAGTGACGTTTACTCTCAATAAATAAAACAATATTACTACAAACTTAAGCACCTTACGGTCTCTCAGCTGATATGTTCTCCTGAAAAGGGCAAGAAAATGTGTGGGAGTGCCCAGCAGTAAAGACCTATCCCAAATGCCCATGAAATGAAAGACCAAAAGTAAGTGTAGGCCACCCACATCACATCCAATCAGATTTGGCTTCTTGAGGACCCCTCACTTGCTGCAAGTTATATTTGTGTAAGTAATTGCATGCAAACACTTTTACCATTTGAGTGCAAAATCCAGTTAGAAATTCTGCTAACACTATAATATACCTAAAAAGTTCATTTGCACTCTTTTCCGCAGAACTATTTGTCCATACTCTTGTATTTATATAAAAAAATTAGTTTGTAATGAAGGTGTGAAAAAGTGTAGACAATGCAGATGTTCATGGAAATAAGTAAAAAGTTTATTTGGTGGGGGTAACACAATGATCTTACTCCACAAAATCGATGCATATCAATTACTTTCATTTGTTTCCTTGAAATGAAAACAGATTAAAAAAAGCTGCAATAGCTTGAAGAGAGCCTTGACCTATTTTGTACCTATGAACGTGTGCAGCAAAAAGCATGTCTCCTAAAACAGCCCAATAGATGTTAGAAAAATATTCACAACTACAAATTATCACAAAGAGGCGCTAATAGATATTTTCAATAGCATACTTGGCATTGCATAAATTTGAAAAGTTCACAAAAACACATGATTAATCAACAGCTATTGTTCACATAGTAAGTGGACACTGAATCGGAAGACGTACTAACAAAAAAGGCAAATAATAGACACATACCATTCAGATAACACATGCATTTTTATAAAGATCTACTGGTGTTCTGGTAGATTATATTAGTTGCACTGTTGATGGTATGCCAATGACCAAAGACACCATTCACAATGGAATTAAGCAGAGTTGGCTCTTAGTTCCTTTTTCGAGGCGGCCTTTCTTTCTTCACTGCTTTTTTGGTGAGATATGATGGCAAGTTTGGCAAAATAATAGAAACATTGTCACTGCTCAACACAGGCCTCCCGCATGGGATTTGCACTTATTTACCGCTGATGGTGTGTACATAATTGCAAATTACATACCAAGGCTCGAAATAAAGTTCACAAACTGCACTTATGGCTTCAAGTGGCTTATCCGCACGATGTAAATTATTCTCCCACAGTCTTTTGAGTGTCTCATATCTGGGCATGACGAACAGTGATGGTTTTGGAGCACCTTTCACGTGAACACAGCCTGTCTGGCATCCGGGCGCATAACAATTGTTCTGACAATGTGGTGCCATTCCGCACCAAGAGTCGATGACCACGAGGTGTTTATTTCTAATTTACATTATTCACAATTATAAGAACTGAAAAATGAAACGTATTGATGAAGTATGCTCGTCCGAAAACCTGCAGCGACGACGAAACACAGCAGTGGGGCGAAGCAAGGGCAAAGGCTCCCATTGCTGACAATAGTAGTGCCGCCACACGGGCACTCAGGAAAACGGAAAACTAATTTGCATTTTTTGCACCGTGGCAGCGTACCCTTTCTCCGGAGAGTGAGCCCACTACTCTCTTCTAAAACACTTTAACCAAGTCAAGAGGAAATTGAAAGAGTATTTATGATTGGCCTCGTACTTGAAGACGGAGTTCCTCCGGCCCTGCCACATGTAAATGATTGACTTATTGAAGTCTGGTGGCCAAGCTGCAGCACTTTCTCAACATCTCGCTTCTCGAAACTGGTGGTTGCACATTGTTGCCATAATGCCACAACTTGACTCTCGAATGAAGAGAGTTGAAGCATGAAGAGCACCTGAGTACAGCATCGTCCCGTATCAGCTCATCAATTCGATCAAGGAACAAGTTTTGACCATTTGTTTAAAGATTGGATTGGAACTTAAGTGTCTCTGTTGCAGACATAACACTAACATTCGAAGTATTTAGAATATTTGTTTTCGAATGATCAATTTTATACTCAAATGTAACGTTAGAGTTGACTTCAAGTGATGAAATTCAGAAAAGAAATATTACAGTCATGTAAATGCTGTATATGCTTGGAGCAGGGAAGTGTCGCACATGGCAGGCACAACAGCATCAGGTTAGACAGAATGTAAAAAAAAATGTTCAGATTTGCTGTATCTCAGTTCGTTGCAGATATAAGTATGTCATGCAGACACTGCATATCTGACCAATGTATTCTAAGAGCAGTGTTATTATTTCGTTGTTTGCTAGAGTCACCAAAATAAGTGCACATCTTGTACTTTCATATGAGGCATTAGAGTTGTCGGCTCAGCTTAAAATAAGTGGATTCCACCTTTTTTTTTTTTTTTTTCACAGAGTCTCATTTAGAATTTCCCGGTTGCACGTCGAGTTTTTTGGGCTTACTTTGTCACATTATGATACTCATTATGATTCTTCGTCACATTATGATATTTAACACAGGTCATGTTTAAGATTTTTAAAGCCAATGTATTTAATTGTTACAGGAAAATTACAAATCCACACTGGCGCATCAACACAGTAAATGAATTTGATGTAGAGAAACAAGGCCATCTGTTTGAAAGAACTTTACACTTATGAGATTGCTTATGATTAGTGAAAAGGTTGTCTGTCTCTGTGCTACTATGCACAGCAGTTTCTCTCTCCTTTCATTCTGACGAGTGCACTGAAATCTATGCTGGGGGGGGGGGGGGGGGATGACAAAGAGGCAAGAAGATTCGTCCTTTCGTCAGCTCGTGTCATGACCATGAGCACTTTAGAGTGCAGCTCTTAGGTGCCTATTTCTGCATTGAGCGGCGTCACCCTCGGTGACGTAACTGATAGACATGAAAAAGTAACTGATAGCCATGAAAAAATTAGAAAAGAATGCCTAGCATGGAATATAATTTCAACCTGGCCCATGAGCATGGCAATTTAGTATACTATCACAGAGGGACCATGGTTCTTGAAATTCACTTGCAAAAAAACGCTATACAGGCATCATGTCAGGCAAGGAATTGCGTTAGCCTATGTAATAGAGCGTGGCACAAGAGTAAAATAACAACAAGTCATCACACAATGCTAATTGTACGAGTGTATGGTTTATTGCTTCCTCCACACTGCAATGTCCTCAGCCATATTTCTTCGTGATCAGCCTTATGCAGCCATATGGGCCTCTTTAAAGGGACACTAAAGGAAACTATTAAGTCGACGTTGATCGTTGAAATAGCAGTCCAGAAACCTTGTAGTGTTAATTTGTGCCAAGGAAGGACTTATTTTGAAATAAAATCACATTTTAGTGGCCCGCATTGGGTTAGCACGCTTCAAATTACCCGCCTCAAGAAGCGGAACGTCTCAGGTGACTGTTGCCGTGCGTAACGTTGCCCGGCTTTACTGCGCGGCCGCCGACACTAGTAGTAGCAGAACGAAAGCAGCGGGAGCCACAGCAGCAACAACGGCCATTGATCAATTTCCTGCCGTTTGCTCCGAGATGGCAGACAAGATTTGGTTCGACTTGGCCCCGCTATATGGCACAACCTGTCCAGTTAAACACACGAAAATTGAATTTTTGAACTACTCGCACCATTCCCCATAGTAACTTCCAGCAGTATTTTTTTACATGAATCAAACAGAAATGAACAAGCAGCATTTTATTGCGTCTCTTGATGCACGGAAGGTTTTTTATTCAGTGCAGCTAGATTGCTTACTAGTGATTAATTGTAGGCAGTTCGTCTGTTGTCATCGGTATTATTTTGAGAATGTCCTGCTGCGGCGAATGTATTCTTGTGCATTTACCTTAATTTCACCATAAGTAGAGCACTGCTGTTGATAATATTGTCATTTTAGATGTTGTCATACATTGAGCTTTCACTCTGATGTAAATTTTTATTTCCGTTTAGTGTCCCTTTAAGGACTCTGTAGTAGTCTCTATGTCTGTAAATGTTGTAGGAGCCTGCCATAGTTCTTGTGTTGCTTTGGCATGCCAGGTGTGTCAGTTTTTATTGAGTGCTAAGTGCATATTTCTCGTGAATCACTTTTTGCATTGCCAAAGATGAGATACTGATTTGTAAGTATGCATGCAAATTGTACTCACAAGTCACTTGGTAGAGCTCAAGTAAACCTTGGCAGCATGTAGTATATTTAATTATATCCTAACCTGTGTGTAGAAATAAATTCTGCAGCAAAGTTTGAATAGGAAGGAAAAAATTGGCTAGTTTTATCCTTATGATTCTGTTTGAGTGCCCTTTTGGTTACTGTGCAAGCAAAGTTTCTTTTACTTCTCCAGGGGTCTTGTCATCTGTATCCTAGGACGACCACGAGTTGGGCGCTGGGCTAATGGAAGTGTATACTTTGATGCTTAATAAACAAGGGAACTGTGACATTGTTGGTTGTGTGAGGAACCACGTACTGTACTTTTTACTGAAAGCGATTTATATGATAGCCACAGTAGTCTGTGCATTTGGTGGCACCACCCACAACCCTCCGTTTTAATAGCTCAAAGTGGCACAGCGACCATAGTTGGATTGTGATACCATGTTATCAGTAGACAATCACAGGCACATCTTTCCATTTCCAGTTATGATGCTCATTGGAAAAAATGATGCAATTAAGCTAAACATGGTACCCTTGACTTTTCAGAAAACGGCATCCATATGTTCCTCTGGATTGGAATGGCTGTTGACCCAGACTTTTTACAAAATGTGTTTGCACAGCCTGTGGCTGCCAGGATAGACATTGACAAGGTATGGATAAAAACTTTATGAAGCAGCTATCCTTGCAAGGGTTTTGAATAATTTTAGTCATGTATTCTACTGTGGGATCATCCAGCAGATTGATTAATGCTTTTGCTGCAATATGTTGTCTGGGTGTTTTTATTTTGTGTCTAATTACTCTGTCAATAAATTTATGCAGATTAAAATTTGTTTAACACTAAGGGATAAGATGACCACATGTGTTAAAAATGTTATGTGCCATTCACAGAGGTCTTGCACCATTGATGTTTAATCTGTTCAGCTTGAACAACCCGTGGAACTTCTAAATATACTTTCTTTGTTTGCTAACTATATAAATAATACTGCTGCTCCAGTACTAGAACATTAGAGACAGGAATGCACATCGGAGAATCATAACGGGCTTCTTCAAGGTTGTGCCACTCTACACAAGTGCAGTGCATTGACAGGTGAGGTGTGATAGGCGTTGCTTCTCAGGGGCAGGACATCATATCGTCAAGCAGATATGAGAGGAAGACCATAAAGGTGTGGCAGTGGTAGCTTTTGCTTAGTCTGATGCTGTGCCTTGGTAAATGTATTACTATTTACTGAGGCACAACAGGAAAACATAGTCCTTGAAAAATGTCTTGTGAAAAGGCGCCCTGTAATGCGAGATATACTTACACTTTTTAGAAAAGGGCCTTTAAGGTCTATAATGTTACGAGTAACTTGTTTAATTATCTATTTACAGCGCACAGAACTCGACGAGCGAGATGGCGCCAGACCAGCATCAAACGAAAAACTCACTTCCTCCTCTTTCATGCAGCCGTGTTTAGCGGCTGTTATGTATCATAACCCCCGGCGGTAGAAGCACCGTCCCGGGGCTAAATTTACGCAGGTGATGTCGAAGGGGGGTAATAGGGCTTTAGCCGAGCTACATGAACGGTGTCGCTCGCAGCTGACGATGACTTTGTTGGATCGGTTGGAACAATCTCGTACGTGACGTCTGTCACTTGGCGAACAATACGGAATGGTCCAGTGTAGGGCGACAACAGTTTTTCAGACAGTCCCACACGCCGAGTAGGTGACCAGAGGAGCACGAGAGAACCCGGAGAAAAGTGCACGTCCCTATGGTGAGAATTGTAGAGCTGTTGTTGGCACGCCAGTGAAGCCTGTAGACAGTTACGGGTGACTTGGTACGCGTGGTCGGCGCAGGCAATGGCTTCCCCAGTGTATTCAGTGGCCGCAGGTAGTAAAATGTCTAAGGGTAGAGTTGGGTCCCGGCCATATAGTAGATAGAAGGGCGAATAGCCGGCAGTGTTGTGACGAGATGAATTGTAGGCGAACGTCACATATGGCAAATGAATGTCTCAATCATGGTGGTCTGGCGCAACATATTTGGCAAGCATATCGGTTAGGGTCCTGCTAAGGCGCTTCGTGAGGCCATTTGACTGGGGATGGTACGATGTGGTAAATTTGCGCTTGGTATGGCAAGACCTCAGGATTTCATGAACGACAGCTGATAAGAACGTGCTGCCAGGGTCGGTGAGAAGTTGACGGGGAGCACTGTGCACTAATATTATGCCGTACAGCAGAAAGTCCGCAACGTCGGTAGCACAGCTGGTCGGGAGTGCTCGTGTGATTGCGTACCGCGTCGCGTAGTGCGTGGCAACAGCAATCTATTTATTTCCGGCTGTGGAGAGTGGAAAAGGGCCCAACAGGTCGAGACCAACTCGAAAGAAAGGCTCGATGCGAACGTCGATCGGCTGAAGGTAGCCGGCTGGGAGGGCAGACGGCGTTTTGCGATGCTGACAGGGCTCACAAGCGGCGACATAGTGTCGAACAGAGCGGGCAAGTCCAGGCCAAAAAAACCGACGTCGTACTTGATCGTATGTGCGAGAAACGCCCAAATGGCTCGTCATGGGAGCGTCATGAAGTTGATGCAGGACAGTGGAACGCAGGTGCGCTGGGATGACAGGAAGTAAGTCTGATCAGAAGGAATCAAGGTTACGGCGATATAGGATCCCGTTTTTCACCAAAAACATTCGTAGGGACAGGTCACGAGGCGTTGACTCCAGTTTGTCAATGATGTCTCGTAAAGAAGCATCCCGACGTTGCTCTTCGCCAATGTTCAACAGCTGCGACTGTTGAAAAATAAGTGACACCGTACAGGCAGTCGAGGGCGTCGTCGATGCGAGGTAAAGGATAAACGTCTATTTTGGTAATTTTGTTAAGGTGACGGTAATCGACACAAAAGCGCCATGTTCCATCTTTCTTTTTAACAAGGACGACTGGAGAAGCCCAGGGGCTGCATGAAGGCTCGATAATGTTTTTCGCAAGCATTTTGCCGACTTCATGTTGTAATATTGCACGCTCCGACGCAGACACACGGTAGGGGCGTCGGTGAATGGGAGTTGCATGGCCAGTATTTATGCGATGGGTGACAATGGTCGTTTGGCCTAAAGAGTTGCTGGCAGAGTCGAAAATGCTACGATAGCCCTCAAGAACGTGGCAAAGCGCTGCAGCTTGCTCAGACGTGAGGTCCGATGACACCATTCACTCGATGTCGGCGCCCCAAGAACGTGATGAAGTGGAACCACTGACTGAGCTGCAGAAATTGTCAACTCTGAAGGGCTCGACATGGTCATCTTGGAGAGCGGTAATTTTGGCCAGGGAGATACCCTGTGGCAGAACTTGGGTGGTGAGTGAAAAGTTGACCAGTGGAAGGAAGGTGCGGTTTCTATTAATCGTCAGAATCATATGCGGCACAGCAACCCCATGCGTAAGCATCACGGCAGGAATCGGGGCCACCATGTAATCACCATCAGGTACTGGCGGCCAATGTGCTGGCCCAAGCAGGAGTGGATATATCAAAATGTAATTGTAGAAAACAACAGACAACAATACAAAAGAAACAAAAGGTTAAGAAAGAAGGTAACGCTCAAGGTCACCAAGAAACTTATTAGAATAAAAGATGTCACACGGCAAACAATTCCAGTCATCGACAGTTCTAGGAAAAAAACTATATTTAAAAGCATTTGATCGGGCAAAAATTGGGGTTAGAGCATGTTCATGACCGTGACGAGTACGTCGTACTGAGAGCGGTTTAACACAGTCAGGGAGATCAATTTTTATAATACCACACAAACAATTGTAAAGAAAGGAAAGACGACTGAACTTTCTCTGAGCCTCTAAAGTAGAAATGTCGTTTAATTGCATTAAGGTGGTCGGGGAATCAAACCTACGATATTTGCCAAAAATAAACCTTACAGCCTTTCTGTTAATACGTTCCAGATTCATGATATCTTTCTTGGTATGCGGATCCCAGATAATAGAAGCATACTCAAGCTTAGAACGAACACAGGGATTATAGGCTAGAATTTTAGTACGCGTGGGTGCAGATGCTAGTTTTCTTTTTAAAAACCATAGCTTACGTAATGCAGAAGTGGTAATGTCAGTTATGTGGGTCGACCAAGTTCATTTGCTTGAGAGTGTGACGCCCAAGTACTTATATTTGTCTACATTATTTATGTTAGTGCCTCTTAGAGTATAGTGGAATTGACTACGGCTTAGCTTCCTGGTGATGTGCAGAAACACAGTTTTGTTAGTGTTTAACTGCATGCCCCCGTTCTGACACCAGTTATCGATAGCGATAAGAGCATCTTGTAAAGCCACATGATCACACGGTGAGGAAATTTGCTTAAAAATGACGCAATCATCCGCGAACAAACGCACAGACACATTTTCAGGAATAAGAGAAGCTAAATCATTAACATAAATTAAAAACAAAAGTGGCCCTAGCACACTTCCCTGTGGGACTCCAGAGGACACACGAAGAACAGTCGATGAAGAATTACCAATCACTACATACTGACGTCTATCTTGAAGATAAGCCTGAATCCACAGAACAATTTTTGTAGAATTGCGGCAGTTCCTCCATCGGCGACTCGTACAGCTCGGTTGAGGGCGGGTGTGACAACTTTTCTAAGTCGACGGCGAAGGTTAGCACTGCGCAATGTTAGCAATGTTCGTGTCAGCAATGTTCGTGTCAATGGTTAGCAATGTTCGTGTCAGTGCATTGATAGATACTGGCACTGCGTGCCAGTATCTATCAATGCACTGACACGAACATTGTCGACAGTAACGTCCAAAAGGTTCCGGTTCGTTGTTAACGTTAATCGAGGATTTCTTACGAAGGTCGTCAACGCAGCTCCACCTCCAGAAGATGCACGGCCTAGTTTTCCGGTCGGAGGTGCTGGGAATTGGTCGGGGAGGCAGCACGGCGTTGTGGGGGCGACCGAGACTGACGACGAGCAGGGGACGGTGACCGGTCGTAGCGAGGTCTGCTCAGAGGTGCTGTAGGAGTGGAAAATGTGGTTGATGGAGAAAGTGATAGCGACGACTGGCGAGCAGAAGTGGCGTTATACTGAGAGGTGCATAATGGGACGGTGGAGCCCAGCGGCTGCGGCAGTGACGAGCGCTATGACCAACGCGTCGACAGTTAAAACATATGGGCCTGTCATCAAGAGTACGCCATTCGGACGGATTGTGTTGTATGCGAGGGGCAGAAGGGGTACGATAAGAAGGCTCAGCAGAGTATACGGTAGGAACAGGATGTAGGCCGACATTCGATAGCTCTTGACGAACAACCGCTTGTATTAAAGAGATCGTGGTCGGGAAAGACGCAGGCATCGGTAATGGCGTGGCTACCGGTTGTGCTGCCTCGACCTCTCGACGAATGCTGCGTGTAAGGTTGTCACATCGAGGGGCCTGATGGAAGGCGTCGTCACATGAAGAAGTGGCCGCTGTGTTCAGAAGGCGCACGATGCTTTGGGCTACGCGGCGGGCTTTAGCTTGTTCGAGACGTCGGCATTCTTTAAGGATTGAGTCGATGCTCGAGACGTTGTTAAAAACCAGCAGGTTGAAAGCATCGTCAGCAATGCCTTTCAAGACGTGGTTAACCTTTTCGTCTTCCGACATGCACTGGTCGGCCTTGGAACAAAGGGTCAAGACGTCTAGAATGTAGGAGACGTACGATTCGGTAGAAGACTGGGCCCGTGGGGCAAGAGTCTTTTTCGCAGCGAGCTGACGACCAGATGAATCGCCATACAGGTCACGTATCTTTTCTTTGGAGAGATCCCAGCTCGTTATGTCGGCTTCGTGGCTTTCAAACCATGTTCGGGGAGTGCCGTCCAGGTTGAAAAGCACGTTGGCGAGCATGAGCGTGGGATCCCAGCGGTGAGTAGCACTGACGCGCTCGTACCGCTTCAGCCAAGTGTCAAGATCGATCGTACCATCACCGGAGAAAGTGCCGGGATCCCGGAGGTGCGGGAGTGTGCCGTAGGTGGTGGCTTGGACTGATGAGGGCGGTGTAGAGGAAGTATCAGCAGTCGAAGCAGTCGAAAGGTCGCCGATGGTGCGACCGCTGCACGTCTCCATAGAGGTACGGTGGTCGTCCACCTCCACCAATAATGTTACGAGTAACTTGTTTAATGATCTATTTACAGCGCACAGAACTCGACGAGCGAGATGGCGCCAGACCAGTATCAAACGAAAAACTCACTTCGTCCTCCTCTTTCATGCAGCCGTGTTTAGCAGCTGTTATGTATCAATATTTTTATTGGGGCCCTTAAAAATATCTGATTTTACAGTTTTTGTGTAAATGTGTCAGTTCATTTTGAAAATTGAGATTAGTGCAGTTTTTTAGAAAGAAGCTCAGAGGGTATGGGCTACATACTGCCTCTTAAATTATCAGAATGTTGTGTTGCAAGAAATCTTTATCCCTCCAAACCATTTAGCCAACTCTCAGTATTTAAAAAAAACTTCGTTTTTAAGAAACATAAGTAAACTAAAACAAGCACGCTTCTTGCAGTGGCACTTAATGCTTTATCTTGCTAAAAGTGTACCAGTTTTTCAGTTTTCTTGCAGCTTGGTAATGATGGTGCAGTGACTTTATTTCAACCTTTTTGGTGGCAGCCTTTTCATTCTTGAAGCCAAAATATTTCCATTGTGGTCCAGTGGCTCTGAATTCTAGAATAAATCACTTTTATCGAATCAGGTGCCTGAAGGCACCTGAATGTAATCTACAGGTACCTGAAGCATAAAATTGTCTGTGGTTATGATAGTAACCAATGTTCCAAACTGGCATTATGGCCAGTAACAACTTAGGTAGTGATACTTTTGAACAAAGTCATTTTATTGCTGTAGTTATTGCATATTAAGCAGGCTTTGTCCTCTTATCATGCTGTGGAATACCTATATATTCACAAAGTTGTATAGAGTAATGATCTACAGCATTTTTTGCTACAAACAGGAGTACTTTAATAGTCAGTATATAGTCAGTATATGCAGAACATGGGAAGCATACTTATAACTATGTTATTAATACATGTTTGCTTATTTATTTAATATTTATTTACAATGCATCCAAAACTAAGATTCCTTGAGGTCAAGCTGCATTACAATATATGTGAATTGGCAAAACTTCTATATTACTAGCCTAGGAATTTCTGTATACTATACACTGCATATGTTACATGGCAAGGGCTTTACATTTGTTATTGTCCACCACGGTGGAGCAGTGGTTATGGTGCTTGGCTGCTGACCCGCAGGTCACGGGTTCGATCTTGGCCGCCCCAATCCAGTGATGTTCCGTGCAGGGAATTTTCCCTGTTTTGGGAAATTTTCACCTGTCATTTTGAACCAAAGGGAAAGGGGGAATATTCGTGATAGTGCACGGAATTTCAGGAATGATTAGATGCTCCTATGATGACCAATCAGTAGCGGTCACAGTGCACCTTCATCTGCTGTAATCGATGATGATGCAAGCACGGCCTTTGAGATTTGTTTCTGATATTTTGCGGAGCGATTTCTAGTTCACTAGTGGTGTTGGACTTGAACCCCACAGTGTGCAGTGTACTAACAGTGTATGAATTAATAAAATCATGCTTTTGTTTTGTGGCAGTGGATGGGCTAGGCATGATTTCAAAAATCACCAGTACGTGAGACACGTATAATTATAGTGTGTGTGTGTGTGTGTGTGTGTGTGTGTGTGTGTGTGTGTGTGTGTGTGTGTGTGTGTGTGTGTGTGTGTGTGTGTGTGTGCGCGTGCGTGAATGGGGGGCGGAAATTAGTACTGTTGTGCAGGGAATTTGCTGGAAATTACGTCAATGTTTACAGAAAAACATTTTCGAAATAGGGAGTTCTCATTTCTTTCAATGGGAATTCTTCGGCGTAGTACAGAACATCACTGCCACAGCCACATTTTTGTGGAGCCGAAATGCTCGAGGTCCATGTACTGTGTAATGTTAGTGCACATTAAGGAGCACCAGATGGTCCAAATTTCCGGAGCCTTCCACTGAGACGTTTCACATGATCATATGTTGATTTTGGGATATAAAATCTCAGATATTATTATTATATACAGTCATTATTGGCCTGAGCTTAACAGGGAAGTTGTGTTACTGAGCTCGAAAGCGTGGGTTCCATTTCCATTCAAAGTGTCTGAATTTCGATAAGGTTAGAATGAGGGATGATAGAATATTTAAAATTTGGAGTATGGTCCTTTAAAATATTGAAGGACCAGTAAACAGGCTCCGACTTTTTTACCCCCCCCCCCTCGCCAATTCATACAATAGGCCGCGGCGATTACATTTGCCGAATATTACGACACTGTGTGCGGTGCAGACCCATCATTTCAAAAAACAATCCCGTGCCTGTTTCTGTTGCCTGACCAATCCTGCTCATACGTGCAGCCTAACGAAAGCTTGTCGATGGGCAATTACGGACCACTGAACTGGTCGATTGGGTATTTGCCCTACGAAACAGCGCCTGGGCCCTGCGGCAGCAGTTTCAGCCGCACAGTTCGCATTTACATTTTTCTGTACTGCCCACTACTGTTTTATAGAGCCCGAGTCTCCAGAAGAAGTGGTATTGCCAGAATGAAAGCCTCTGAGATAAGAGGCATCTTGAGCGAGAGGGGAAAAGTGCTTCTCGCTCAGCGTTTCTGCCATTGCCGCTATAACATGTGCTCATGTGGGGGAAAACTCGTTCGGTCCTTGGTTGTGCACCGATAACGTATCATGCACATCATGTCTGTTGCCAAATTAGGTGGACCTCCCTATGGCAGAGCAGGATGGGGAGCGGTGGCCTGAAAATTCGAAACTGGCTGACACAGATGTTCTAACCCCCGTAACTTTCTTATTATGGCACGTATTTGCAAAATTCTTGAGGTAGCATGTTCACATAGCAAAAGTATACATATTTCTCTTCATTAAAATTTTTTGACCTGGGGTTGTTTACTGGCCCTTTAATGGTGCCTGCTATTCGATTCGATTCGTACCATAATTTTATTATTCAAACCCTTCGAACTTCCCAAAGACAAATACAGCCAGCATTCGATGGGCAGTGGCCCCTCCAGATTCTCAATATGCTTCAACCTATAACGCTCTCGTATTGTGGCAAAGCAACTTCTCAGGCTCTGCCACACTTTCAAATGTGTCGACTCGAGAAAACGCTTGTTCCAACATGGAGATGATAGAAGTGGCAGAGGTGGAGGATTAATGAACGCGATTTAGGACCTGGAATTTGGGCTGGAAGGCCAAGAAATTGGACGCTGAAGATTTTTTAGCATCAAAAATTTTGGATGTTCTTATATATAGACATCTATGAGGCAGATTTGGAACTCTGGATTTGAAAGGAGCACACCTTTGTCTACCCGATCAGTGGGGCTTCTACAGAAGTTAAATGAGTAGAAGAGGCTGAGGAAATCGCATCTTCGCCTTTTACATGTAAAAATTTGTCTGCAACACTTTGGTTGCATTAAATTGTCTACCTAAGTAATATTCGACCTGAGTTTTGCCTCTTTCTTGATAAGACAACTAAGAAACACCACCCCTGCCAGTGCTTCATCAACTCTTTCATGTTGCTATCTCATAAGAATATACTTAGGAATACTCTGCAGCATACTTTTTCTACAATTTCAGTTTAAAGTATCGGAAACACATTCCACAAATAGTCAAGAAATATTAGAAAAATATTAAATAAATATCAGGAAAATATTCAATTCGATTCTCACTCACACTTCAGTATTTGAATTCACTTCGCACCCAAAATTTCGCTATTCTTACAGCTCTAGTTTAAATGCAAGAACAGCCTTGTACTTAGATAACAACTGCAGGTTGTCAAAAGTGATCCCGAGTTCTCCACTAGGGTTTACCTGATCACCAATTCACATTGTGGTTTTCGCTTGTAAAACCCCAGCTATTGGCATCTTTCTCCATTAAGCACTTTTATTCAAGTAGAGTATCATTTCATCAACTACCCTGTTTTTTGTGTGTTTTTTGAGCAGTCTATGTAGCTGCCTCTATGGATAAACTTAATTTGGTGTCTTGACCCAAGGGCGCATCTTAACTTCATATCTTGTGATGGATCTGAATTTTCATGTGCAGACATCTCTACTAGAGTTGAACACACCTATCTCCAGACGTGTGCGGGACATCATAGCCCGAGTACGAATGGAAAGGCAACGCTGTATGCGGGTGAGCTGTTTAATCTGATTTTTGTTTTGTGCTTGCCTTAAACACTTCTTTTGAAAAGTGGATGTTAGCCTAAGTATGCCTCTAAAAAGCACTTCCAGCATTGTGCAAGTTTCGCCAAGAGACAGTACAGTTTGTTGAAGGTTTTTTAAACTATAATCACATAACAGTTTTTAGTAGCATGCAGTTAGACTTCTTCAAGCTTTAGGAGGGGTGAAGTTCAATGCAGGACAAAAAAAATAAAATATGATGACTAGCTATTCCAGGAGCACCAAGATGGTATAAACTGCAACTGTTGTAAGTAAGCTGCTGTAATAATAGACACTTCTTACAAAGAAATGTTCATTTTGAAAAAAGTTGCATCTGTTTGTTGTTTTTTGCATATTAAATGCTTGCTATCAACAACAGTGGAGTGATAAAGAATTGGACAGTGCTGCCATTGAGGGCTTCAAAAGTGCTAGGAAGCAGCTTCTGAATGAGTGCTGAACCTCTACAGGATGAAGTGCAACATCACGCTGAAGAGTAGATTCTAGAATGCTTCCCTCTTTTGAATGCTTCCCTCCTAGGTCGCGTTAAGTTTTTCTGGAAATGGCGAGAAAACGTCAATTTTCAAAAAATTATAGCTTTGCGAGGGCGCGGCTGGGAGCCGTCGTCTTAAGCTCATCAGAAAGAGCGTTTCTCCCTGTTCAAATTTTCTGCCTCAACTGGCTCCTCTCTTTAAAAACAAGCGCACAAAAAGCAGATATTTGAAGGTCAATTCAAGGCTCTGATTGGCTGTGGTCACCATGTTGCCCCAGCTCGCCTCGCCATTGGCCCGATGCTCGCTCCGGGAGATAGTCGTTTGCTGCTTGTGCGTCGCGAGGACATGGCTGTCAAAAATCGCTACTTCGTGACGTGTTCACGGCTCGACGATCACTTAGGATATAATTACGCTTTAGTTAGGAGCTGTAAGCAGATGCACGATCAGATTACTAGGAGCGAGCGCGTGGTCTACGAGCGCGGCATGTCATCGCGAGCGGGCGCGCGTTGTACGAGCGCGGCGCGTTATCGGACTCGTCTTTAGGCCAAAACTCTGCTGGCAGAGAGACTATGGGCAAGATTGACGCGCTAGCACACTCCTGGCGACGTGCTTCTTCGCAAGCAACAAAGCTGTAAGCGGATTCACGATCAGATTACTACGAGCGGTCGCGCAATCTTCGAGCGCGGTGCGTCATCGAAGTGGTTTTTAGGCCTAGCTTCGCTGACGGCAAGTGGTTTTTAGGCCTAACTTCGCTGACGGCTAGATGAACTTTGCGGACAAGAACGCCGCGCTAGAGCATTCGTGGCAACGTGCTTCTTCGCAAGTAACAAAGCACACCACTCGCTAGCTCCTCGAAACCGCGGACGGGCATTGTACGCATTGGCAGCAGATCCCACTGTAAAGCTCGTCACACCCCCACCTCCACTGCCAAGGATTGCTCGGAACAGCAGCTAGCAGCTTCACACGTCGGCATTCGAAAATGCGATACCAAGCGCAGTGAGCGCCAGTTTTTTGTCACTGTCGGTACGCATTTCACACACCGTCACCGAGCGCCGCCGGCATTACGCACTGGCTGCGCTGTCCGTGCAGTCGTGCACTTCACGTTCATATGGAGGGCTGTCAATAAGCTTTTGTGGTTCAATTTAGACGTGCTTGGAGCCTTGCTTGGTATCGCCGCGAGCGTCTATGATTGTTCTGAGACTATGAAAACCTCGTAGATTAGCGTTTCCGCGACCGGCCGTATGATGGTGCGTTTCACGGCTAGGGTGGCAAAAAAGTATGTATGAAGTAGGGGCATGAGTTTTCATATGCCCGACTCACGTCATTAAATAAACTGCTAAAAAAAATTTTGTGCCACCAGTTTTCTGCTCATAACTGTTAGTCATTCGAAAAGAAGGCATAGGCTGTCATGATGTGAGCCAGTTTTCTTATGCACTAAACCTTTCCTTATAAAAAAATATCCAGTATTTATTTTTAATAAGAAGTACCTAATTACGCTAATGACAGCTTGAACACACGAAAAAAGTCTAATCATTGTAGTGTATGGCCTTATTCAATTACAATCTATTCTGTCATTCTTATTATCACGCCACTCCGTGATACAAAGAACTTAGTTTGAAATCCATATTTGTTCTTTGTAAATAAAAAAAGGGTTATAAAAAAATATAGGCAACAAAGGCACACTGGGCAGAGGCCAGATGCCTGAGAAGTCAAATATCACAAGACAAACCTAAGATCACAATTTTTAGGTGTTCTAGAGACGTGAAGAGAAGGTGAAACTTCAAACGCCGCTTTCTCAATGCTGTTTTGTTTTTGGCATTATGCTCAGCTCGTGGAGCAGATATCCCAGCAACCACTGCACCGATTTTGATTTCGTTTGTTTTGTAACGCTCCTTGAATTGTGCTTCAGGGGGCTGCTGTCTTAGTTTTTCATTTTACTCCTTAAAGAATTTTTCGTAGGGTTTCTTGTTTGTAGTGCAAGTGTGCTCATTGCAGTGTGGCTGGAAAAAATTTTAACTATAAAATTTAGTGTTGCAAAAAAATTATTTTGAAAACGCTGCCCCCTTCAGCATATATTTGGCTGTGCGTTCAGTAATTACTATTTTTGTCATCTTATATATCCGCCAGCCCCTCCACATATGAAGATTATATATTTATATATGAAGATATATAAATATATAAAGATGTATAAAGATATATAAATTATTTCTTCGCATATATATATATATATATATAATATATGTGTGAAGAAATAATTTGTATCTCATTAAGTTTTTCTGTTATCGCCTCAAATTTTTTATGGAAGCACTGTGAGGCCATTTTTAGTGCCTGCGCCGATATTCATCAACATCCAACAAGAAACAAAGTTTGTTTCGAAAGGCACATCCCATCTTGAGCACTTTCCTTGTCTGTACCTGTTCTCACCTTTTGCCTGAAGGTAATAACTGATTAGAAACCACAAAAGGCATAGAATTACATAGAATTGAGCACAATAAGAGCTCTAAGTATAATGTTTTTATCGTCACTTCAGTAAAGAAAAAGTTAAAAAGTGCTTAGAGTAGAAGTTTTTACCATTAGCAGCGGTTATATAAACAAACTGTGATGTTATAATGGTCCATATTGCTATGACATTGACACCAACATAGTCGAAGTCAATTTTTGCATTGAAAAAAAAAAAAAGCAGCTGTAACGCTTCAGCTGCAGTTAGTAAAAATTGTGGAAGTATGGGGGTGCAGTTTGCATGGTAGTGGTGCTGCAAGGAGAGCTGCATGAAAATGGGTCATGGACAGTGTTGTCATATTCTCCAAAAGCTTGCACGCTCTCAGAGATTGTTGCCATATGGGCCATATGCTGTATCCCTGCAGGGCTGGACTTGGCAAGCGCAAGTTCTGTGTAGCATTAGCTATACCCATTGCATGTGCTGTACTGTCTACCTGATTAACACACCTTGAGAACAAGTGGCCTTTCACATTGCTTCAGAAATTGGTGCATAGTGCTCTTGAAGGTTATATCTTCATTCACAGTTGGACTGATGACTGCAGCTTAAATGGCCATGATTGATAAATTGGTAATGCACTGAAATGGGGTCATTTTAACCAGGTGATCATTTTATCTAAGATCATTATTAGTTGTTTCAAAATATTGTATAAGCATACTGCACTGTCGAACCAGGTACATTACCTGTCCATTTGTTTCTGCATTCTTTCAGTTATCTGTCATAATCTCCACTCAAGCTATGTGTATCAAGGAAGTATGTGTAGCTTTGCATACAAGTCACATGTTCCAACAGCTTATAAATAGGGCTCCGTGTTTTTGGATAAATCCGGAAAACTCCAATAAACAGTTGCCGGTAAAAATTTTGACAATTCAGATTAATTGGATAAGCTCAGATTTCAAAAGGGTATTTTCAATGCTCAAGGGGCATTTTCAAAGCTGTCAATCATCAGTCGAAAGAAGCCACCCTCCATTAGTGACAGCCATGCCATAAAGTATGCTTGCGTCCATTACAAAAAGCTTTATGTTTGTAATTATAAGAAATGCAGGTATTCTTTATTCAAGTATTTGCGCTTCTTGTAAATACATGAATTTGCACATTCAAACCTTCCAGGCATCTAAAATGCACTGAGTGTCTGCAGATGTTTTCTTTTCAGATATCATTTTGTGTAGGGTTTCACAGAAAATAGTACTAGTTAGAGGTCGTTTATTTTTTGTCGAGAAGATGAGGGAGATGGGGAGAAAAAGCTGAGAAGGGGTTTGACCAGCTCCTGATACGCCCAAAAGTACACTTTAGCAGCTTTACAGCAGTGCATATGAACAGCTTTATCCATAGGGTAAATGAACAGGAAGTGAGAAAAAAATATGAAAGGATGAAAAAACAGGACTATCATCAACAATGCATTTCATAGGAAATAAAATAGACATTGCAGCAACTTACAATGCAAATATAATGCCAATGCCGAATTTCGGAAAGGTGGACATTTACAAGCAATAAACTCTGATAAGCAGCTAATTTCCTTTAAAAAATTAAACTTATAAAACTCAGAGCCCTAAAGAAGATGCAGCAACATAATAGCAAAGCAGGTGAAACAGTTATAATGATACTGACGTCATGAGGTCTTTGGTAAGTTACTTGTCACCGCAGTTTTGCTTAAATAGGACTTGCTGAACCAGCTGATAGAAATTTCAGCACTGCTTAGCAGTTGCAGGTCGCATGAAAGCATTCATAACGGCTGTTATCAGGTGAATCGATGCAGTCTGTGAGAAGTTGGGTGCTATTTATTGTGCTAATAATAAATAGTCTTACTACACATAAGAAAACATTTGTTCAGTGTTTATTTATGTTAAGTAAAGTCATGTCCTTTTAAATGCTTCATTGTGGCTGTGTCGTTGACATTAAGTGTGCTGCAAAGGTGTGTCAGCTTGGAACTACAGTAGACTGCTGTTGAACAAAACCTGAAGGGACCAGCAAATTGTGTTTCATTTAACAGGAGTTATGTTTACTGAGAGATAAACAGGGGTGCAGAATTCAAGTACACAACCAATCATATTAGAGACAGCTGTTCCATCTAAGAAGCCATTTCGTTAGAGATTAAAGTTTCGTTTGCTGAGTGTACTGTATGTATATATATGCAGCTGACGCTGGTGCGCCAAGGGGACAAGATGGAGCTGGTGTTTCGGCAATTCCTTGTGGAAGATCGGCATGGAGACTTGGGCCCTTCGTATGTGGACTTCCTCTGCCACCTGCACAAGGAAATCCGCAACCTGCTCAGCTGAGGTCCCTGTACCTGTGCCTCCAGCCCCAGCTAGCAAGCTTTTGTGCAACATCACTGCGCCTAGGAGATGGGCTTGGTTTTTCTGCTCCCCTCAATGGGCAGTGCCCACACTCTGGATGTCGCCGAGTAGCTGAAGCACCTGGCAACTGACACTTCTGCTTGAAGTGACCACCACAGAGGATGGAAACAGTGTCTCAAATATGTGCTGTTATTATGCGTCGATGAAACATTGGAAGAGGTTGCCTTGATATTCCTGGTTGCCGAATCGTTTTCCCATTGTAAACATGAAAGTGACAACTTGATTGTGAAGCGCCTTCCTTTGTCCCCTCTAACTTTTTTTTGTGTCACACGTCATCCTGCCAAAGTGACCTAAATCTTGAAAAGGGTCTGTAAAAAAGTGTTCGCCCTGTAGGCATTACCACTCTTTGTTGACAACGCCAGAGAACCTTCAAAATGACAGCAGAGAAGCCTACGAAAGGAATGACTGTACTAATCAGAGCTACCAACAACAATTTCTTTTTAAAGCTTCTTATAATACTTGTTTTGTTACTTGTAGTATAGGCATGTTTTTTTTTTCTTTATAGGTATCTTGTAAGCTTATCGATGTTTCAGTGGAAGATTTATGAAATACTGCTGGAGGACATTTAATAAATTCAGGCCTAGACATTGAGGATGTTTCTGTTCTGATGTGTAAGAACATTCAAAAAGTCCTTTAGAACCGCTCGCTTTATTGTGCATTTGCATGTTCTTTATTTTACAGAGTGTGGCTCTGAGAGCACTCTGAAAAGAATTGTAATGGTGTCGCATGACAATTTTTAAGTCATGCTAAATTCATTGCTGTCAAAGTGGAGCCATGTGTTTAAACACAGTTGGCCCATATTGAATAACATCCGTTTCATCTCAGCTGTGTGTGGTCCAACAATAATTGCTGTAAACTAATGTTTTCAGTTGCTTGTGGCTTGGCATGGTGTCTGTGGTTTGATGGAGATGGCCATGTAAGAAGAGAGGTTCGAATGAAATAGAAAGCTAATAAAGATTTTTCTTCTATTTTTTTAGTGTCAGTATTCTGTCATTGCTGATATCTGTTGCTTTGTGCATAGGTTTAACGGGCCCTACAACAGTTATTGAACATGTTCTGCTGCCAATCAGTAGTTGAGGCTTTTGTGAACATGTGAGCCAAGTATTATAGCACAGTACGTGGCAGGCATTTTGCAATTACATAGACAGCCAGGAATCACTTGCTCTTCTCTCGACCAATTACGTCATCAGCGGGTTCGTCAACGTCATCTCGGAGTGGAAGACACTGCCATTGGCTGATTTGAGCCTTCTTGTTCAGTAACATTAATGCGGCCGCCACGTGCTGGCGCCGCGCTGCAGTGCGCTAGAACTGCACGGTCGCGACACTACCGTGCTCGTGGTTGCTCAAAACAACGAGTCAAAAGGCGGGAGCTGGCAGGTGTGCTTTCAAGCAGTTAGGAAGACGCGTTAACACTATATCGACGCAACGCCCATGCCAACTTCACAAGCTGATCGACAGATAAGTGCGGCTAGTGATGCTGCCGGATGGTGGGGTCGTACTAGGCCTCCGAAAAAAGCATCGTCGTGGTGTAATATGATGGCCGGCCAAAAACACCATCAAAATGCATCGGGCAAGAAGGTTCTTGGCGCTGATGGTAAACAAGCCTTGCCCAAACCAATTGAAGGGGTAGATAAGGGAGACCCCTGCAAGACCTTAAGACCATCTCGTGCCCTCTCACCTGGTCATCTTCACCCCCGATCCGCGACGCAGCGGGGGTGCGTCAAGAACACCGAGCGGGAGTTTCACTGGTATCACGCAAAAAGAGATGAAAATTGGCCATGTATCTGCATGTTACACTGCAAATGTCTTCAAAGCATGATAGTCTTGCATCTGGAGAGAGTGAACAAAGCGTTTATTTGATGTTCTACGCAAGGATATTGGTGAATGGTATTCTGGAGGCGCTGCGTTAGAGTGCCTCGAGCGTGCAGTGGAGGTGAACGAGCGCGTCAATGCACGTCACACGTGAGACATGAGCACTATCTGGCAGTTATCTTTGAAAACGCAGCGCGCACGCCTTGCGCGTCTGTCTCGGAGGTGATAAGGTGTAGAATGCAAGGCGATGGGTAGGTGCCGCCACCACCGTATCATTTTAGCAAAGTGTTGGAAACATTTGCCTTTTCGTGCAAGTGTTGCCTAGTCAGCGCAATGTGATGAACGCTAAAGTCCTTAAAATTACTTATGTATGCTTTCTCTAGTAAGAGGTACACATACAGAATATTGACGTGTTGTTATGGCGCCTCAGATATGCACAATAATTGATTTTTAATTGACAATCACACAAGTATGAACGCTGAATCTTGAACAATATTGGTGGGCGCTGCGTATGGGGTCGGCCGTTTAAAGTAATGTTTGGCCACTTTGGTGCCGTTCAGGGTACCACCAAGGGCGGATAAACAGACAAATGTACAGACAGACCAAAATTTTTGTGTCCAAGTTCCTTAAAAAAGACTATCGTATTTAAGGGGAGATGCTACTCAAAGACACTTTTTTTTTATTATTCACCCTACAGCAATGAAACTTGAGCTGTTTATGGGACATTTTATGCTGATTTCCAATTTATAATTAGTTTTCTTTCAAGTTGCTTACTTTCAGCTCTGCAAAATGACAAAGTGAAAACCTTAACCCTTTTGCCCCCCCTCTTTTCATCCCTGAACTTCCGTAATTTTTTTACCATTCATAGTTCATAATGTTTGAAATAAAGTTTAGAATGCAACTAACTAATTAGGAAGCATATACAAAATATGTAATGGGCGTGAAAAATAATAGACGTAAAAAGTCCATCTTTTACCTACCCTAGTAAAGGTTTACGTAGAATTTTTGATTATGCAATATATTATAGAAATTCAAACTAGATCATTGCATTCGCCATACTTTAGAAAAAAATTGGGCAAAATTTCATGCAGATCAAAGCACTAGAAGTGCCCGAAAAAGGAGGGGCACATTGAAAAAAATGCCAAAATTTGTGTTTTGAGAAAAATGAGTGTTTAAAAAAATCGAGTTTTTATTTATGAAAGATATCATTAAATCTGATGAAATTTGCACACCAAAAAGAACAATCTTTCTTGTAGTGGCCACTGCGACTAAAATACGCCAGCCCCATGAGTTTGTCCCTTTCGGCTTTTTCGAGCCGACTCACAGACATTTCGCTCACAGACAGCCATGAAACGCTTGCCAAACTTCCGCTCCATCTGGCAGAGCCTTGTGCCAACTGCAAGCTAGGAAGAAGTTCGACAGGACTGCGAAATCCAAACTAAGTCCAGTGTCATGCAATCTTGCGGCCATGTCTGTGCCACATACCGTCCTACATAATAGCAATGTCGTCCCTGCCAACGTTTTTAGAACAATTGTTCTAAAAACGTTGGTCCCTGCTAAGTTCTCTCACTGCGAGCTCTTTCAACCTCGCAAGATCGGTGCTGACGTCATCCATTGCCGCATCAAGAACTTTCCGGCTGACGGGTGTGAATGACTTTTGATGCATTGGTTTTGACTTTGATGCATTGACCGCAAGTTTGGCATTGGTTGCAAGATGGTTTGATTTTGATGCATTGGTCGCAAGTGAATTCCCCACAACGGCTTTCACTTGCGAGCAATGCATTTTTTCTTCATAACGGAGATATTTACACGAGAAAAGCATTGTTCAGCTGCGCTGCTTGACAAGACATGGACCCGCAAATAGGTTTCACAGCACATACAGGCGCGCAGCGGCCAATGGTGGTCCCGATCCGTACCACGTGATGAGCCAGTCGCGGCGCTCGAAAAACGCGCAGAAGCGTGCTTCTTTTTATTATTTCTCGCGCCGCATCAGCGAGGGAAACTGCTGTTATTTGAAGAGCGAGGCTCGACTCTTCGGGTGGCGATTTGGGCTCAATGAGGGTGGCGATTTGGGCTTGTTGGTATGGTTGCATGATGGCTCATGCGATCAACAATGGCGAGTGGCGGCGCATTATCGTCGGCAAGGTGCTCGAAGACTGCACACTTTGGACCTTTTAACAGGCACCTTGTGCTCTTTAGATGCAACTTTAAAACATTTCCGTTTAAGTCTCGACCTGTAATTTTTTTTCATAACAGTAGAGGTACCAATCTTATCAAAACAGGCAAAAGCTAAAAATCGGTAATTTTGAAAAAAAAAAAAAAAAAAACTCACGTTTTTCGACCCGCATCTCCCCTTAAAAGTTTGCCGGAACGGCAAACTTTAGTTCAGGGTCTGCAAAATTGCAAACTTGCCGGTTTGAATGTGGCGGCAGCTGACCAATTCGCGATGTGCTTTTTGCGCTCCCGAACTGCGGTATCCCTGCCACCCACCTCTCACGTTGTGCTACAGCATGTTTCGCACTCAGCTACACGTTGACAGTGCTTGCGCACACGCATGCAAGCGCACTTTCCCTTCAGGCTAGGAGTGAGTCGCCGCGCCTCTTTTTGCGTGCCAGGTGGGATAACGTCGGCGCACTAATCATTGGTTTAGTAGTCAACGCTCTACGGAAACGCCACATGTAAGTGCGATATCTGCCTAGTTGTGGTTCCATTATTAACTTGCTCAGCGCGAAAAGTAGACACAACATGCATAATTGATGGCGATGGTCCTCGTCAGCTCTGCGCGTGTTGGCTACTTTACGCGATGAGCAGGTTAATAACCGTTCGGAAGCCCTCCTGGGCATTTCTGTGAATGCTATAGTTTAAATGAGAAAATCTTAGGTAGTCGAAATGTTAGTCTTGAACAGAATTGTAGCTCAGAATTGTTTACAAGCGCTATTTGTTTACGGAATATATACAGTGCGCGTGCATTGCGCGCAGACGCCCCAAAAAGGCGACCATCGCCTATTCCCTACCTTTCATGCAAAAAGCACTGATTTCATTTATATGCGGGGTTTAACGTCCCAAAACCACCATATATGAGAGACGCCGTAGTGGAGGGCTCCGGAAATTTCGACTACCTGGAGTTCTTTTAACGTGCACCCAAATCTGATCACACGGACTTACAGCATTTCCGCCTACATCGGAAATACAGCCGCCGCAGCCAGGACTCGATCCCGCGACCTGCGGGTCGCCAGCCTAGTAGCTTACCCACTAGGCCACATTGGTAGAGCGTGCAGAAAACATGATAGGCAGGGAACCCATGAAGGCGACCTATGTGACATACATTCTTACGCTGGTTCGTCTGTGTTTAAATAAATGGCGGCTACCAGAATGAGGTCGCAATTGAGCGATCACGCGGCCGCTGCGTACAGAAGTATTTATATTTGCATACACAGGTGACCGCGTTGTTGCGAAGACGTTATCAAAGCTTTTTAAAGACGATGGTCTTTCTTGGGGACCTTCGACGGAAAAAATTTTGGTCCGCCTGTCTATCTGTCTGTCTGTCTGTCTGTCTGTCTGTCTGTCATTTGTCTGTTTGTCCGCCCTAATGATACCTCAAACGGCACCAAACGGCCAACCCCATTCGCAACGCCCACCAATATTTCTCAAGGTTTTGCGTTCATAGTTGCGCGATTGTCAATTAAAAAGCAATTATTGCGCATATCTGAGGCGCCATAACAACACTTCGAAGTTTTGTATGTCTGCTTTTATACTAGAAGAGGCTCACACAAGTAACTCTGAGGAATGTAGCGTTTATCGCATTGCGCTGAGAGTGCAACGCGATGCTCAAAAGGGTGTTTCCAACACTTTGCTATGCGACGTCACGGTGGTGGCCCCTGCCCGTCACTTTGCGTTCTACACCTTATCACTTCAGAGACTGGTGCGCATCTTTCTCCGCGGGCTGCACGCCTTGGTTTTCGAAGATAACTGCCAGATGGCTGTTGTGTGTAGCGTGTCTCGATGCGCTCGTTCGCCTCCGCTACACGCTCGAGGCACTCTAACTCAGTGCCTCCAGAATACCATTCACCTATTTTCTTGCGCAGAACATCAAATAAACGTTTTGTTCACTCTCTCCAGACGCAAGACTATCGTCTTTCGACTACATTTGTGGTGTAACA